TGTGATATCTTCCCGTGAGTCCCTGATCTTGATCGTACACGTTTGCATGCATGATTAGTGTACGATTGAATCGGGGGCGTCACATGGGTGCAGGTCCAGAACTTCGAGGTGCACATGGTGCTTGGCCGGGGCTGGAACTACTTCCACCACCGTCACCGGATCGTCCCCAGCGACCTCGTCCTTGTGCGCAGACTCGGACTGAATGTTCAGATCTACAACCATGACTTCTCGATCACGTGCAAGTTTCGTTGCAGTAGGCACAACTACGTTGGTGACATCGAGCAAGCTATGTAGTTAACTTAAGTTGTTAGTGTTGAGATTTTATGGTCTGTGGCTAGACTTATGCTGGGAATTTGTGCTGGGAACATGTTAATATTTTGGCCAGGAGCAGCACCCTGGTGTGTAGCAGGGAAGGAGGATGCCCCTGCTGTTAATCTTAAGTAGTTTGCTGTCATTTCTTTGCTTGCTTGCTTGCTTTGTTTGGTCTTACTTTGTTTGATCTTGCTTTACTTATTCTTGCTTTATTTGTGTTGTTGTGCTAATCATATAGTGGTAAGGCCACCACATTTGAATGGGGTGAGCAGAACACAAACGTTGTTTGCATCTGCTCACACCCTTAACACAAAAACATGAACCAAACAGCTGGGGGTAAGTGGCCCTCCATGCAATGCAGACAACCAAAGAGGTTGAATCTGCTGTATATGAGGCTGCATTTGAAGAACCGGGCCGGGTTGAGATAGACATGCGATGCATGAACTGTTGCAAACTGCAATCAAACACGCCCCATGTGTAAACCTACCTGAGGACACCTATTTCAGTGAGGATGAAGACGACAATGCTAATATAAGTGTTGTGTGCATTGACAATTTCTTTACGACAAACAATAGCATTAGCACTTACATGTCTTATTTTAAATCTGTACCGGCAGGGCCGGGCCCATAGTTGTGCAGAACATGCGGCCCGCACATGGCCCATAAATTTTGGGGGCCGTAATGCTGGGCCGCATCCCGCTAGGCGCTGGAATGCCCACCACCACCAGGCAGAGTCGCGAGGGCATGCGTCGCTCGCGATCCTTCCTCACCCGGTAAGCGCTCGCATGCACTCTACCCAGTTACGTCGTGTTTACATGCCAAAGTGCACCGTAGAAAAAAAAACTGAGGCCAAAACGAGGATATGTGGTGCTATGTGTACTAGGCCAGTTGTTAAGTCCCATGCACCTTTTGCTCGGTAGCTCCTTTTTTTTCTTCAGCATCCTTGGCGAAACATTTATTTTAGTGAACTTTAGGTTCAGAAATTTTCAAATATCCCCATCATAGGCTACTAGAGCATATAGAATTAATCTTGAGAGATGATCCGTTAGGCTATTGACGGGAGAACCGTCATGACTCGAGCACCAAGATCCCAATCCATCATATGTTCTTGACCTCCTCTACGTGGTGTGATCGACTGATAGACATCGGCAATTCTGCAAAGATCTGTCGTGAGGTCTCTTCTCGACAGGAGCAACACTACAGTAGTTTGACCTGGAATAATCACCAGGAAATTAGCAATTCTTTCAATACTTCAATAGATCAATCATGCACATCCCTTTAATTTTGTTTTATTTCTTTTTTATATAGTGGTTCAAGAATCTAGGTGAGTCACCAATCATGTCTTCTACAAGCATATGTAATATAGTTTTTATTTTTGTAATTATGTTTTTATGACGAGATAGGGCCTCATTTTTTAGCTTGGCACAGGACCCCGGATTTTACAGGCCCGGCCCTGTGTACAGGTAGATGTCAATGTTGACAATGAGCAGAATGATGTCGATGAATCTTAGGCTAAAAGCACGAGTCAAGTACGGTGAAAAAACTGTACGGCAAGGAATGATATAACAATTGAGTGACTTACATGGCTTTTTAGTTTTGTAGGGGATGTTAGTGCTCCTAGGTGACGGAGGGGGTGCGTGCTTAGCGCTCCTAGGTTTAGGATTTGGGTTTGCACATGTCTGGGCATGTTGTGCCCTTTTTTTCTATTTTTTTTTTGCTTGATAATGTTCAGGATTTCAAACAAAAAGTGGGATTTCCAAAAAACTTCAAGAATTTTAAAAATGCTCTTGGATTCCAAAAATGTTTTGGAGTTCAAAAAATGTTCTCATTTTTTTAAAAAATGCATGAATTCAAAAGGTATTCACGAATTTGAGAAAAAGTTGTGAATTTGAAAAATGTTCACAAATTCCAAAATTTTAGTGGATTAAAAAATCTTCACGGGTCAAAGAAATGTTTATGAATTTTAGAAAAAATGCCCACAAATTTTCAAAGAATTTTGACGGATTACTAAAAATATGTTTGTCAACTAGAAAAAGTACACAAATTTCAAAAAGTGATCATGAATTAAAAAGTGTTCATAAAATTTAAAGAAAAAATTATGAATTTATAAAAAAAGGTTCGTTTGTTTGAAAAAATATGCATGATTTTAAAAGAATGTTCAAGAAATTCCTAAATTATTCTTGAATTCAAAAAATGTTCATGAATTTGAAATTGTTCATTATTTTCTTAAAATTTCATGAATTACAAACTGAATTGAAAAAGTCACCATTTTTCTAAAAAACTCTTCAGTTGAAAAAAGAAAAAAGTAAAAAAGTAAAACAAAAAAAACATAAAAACGAAAAAAACCGAGAAGAAAAACAGAGGAAAAATGAAAAAGCATTCGACATGGATTTTTGGGGGGAATGGGTCTGATCATATGGACGACCAGGCATGTGATTGTTCATTATTCCTCGACTTACGTGGGATTAGGACACACCTAGTTTATGCTCAAACTTATTAATCTTTCCAATACCCAAGGGCTTGTTTTAAGTGGACCGTCCTTGGCTCACCAACAGAAGCCCGCCTACTTGCTAGTGTGCCAGTAGGCGGGCTTCTATTCAATTAGGCCAGCCTTTAAGTTAAGCAGTCTCAGCCGATACTTTGCAAGTCTAGGGTGATAGGTGCCAAACGTGTGGCATGAAGCAATTTCGCCCTGACGTTTTTTGATTGTAAGTTTAGTTACCTGAGGATAGCAACTTCAGTTGTGAAGCATGAAACTTTGTGTTTGGATGGTAAAATTCAGTTTTTTGGGTTTTTATGACAATTTTAGTTGTAAAAAATGTCAGGATGGTGTTACTTTGTGCCACACGTGTGACACTTATCTTTTGGGATTCGCGGTTACTCAAAAATCCATGTCGATGCAAGCGTGGCAAAATCCGAGCTGAGAGGAGTGGCATCTGTAGTGTGCCGAGATGAGCTGGACGATATTTGGGCAGCTCCGCTCTGGTTGTCCGGGGAATTATCGATGTAGGCACACTCGAGGCGATGGCATGCAGAAAAGCTTTGGCTCTTGCAGAAGACTTGATGATTTAAAATGCTGATATTGCCTTCGACTCAAAGGAGGAGGTGAACGACATTGAAAGAGGGAGTAGTAGCATTTATGGTTGTATCATGAGCGAGATTAAGCAATGAGCTAGTTTAGTTAATTGTAAGTTTACTTTTGAAGGTTGGGTATCAAACACTGATGCAGATAGGTTAGGTAAGTTTTAAAACACTCTTGATCAGGAGCGACATCTATGGTTGATCCATCCCTATGGTCCTTTTTGTATATCATTTCATGTGGACTATGATTAATAGAGCTTAGCTATACCCCTAAAAATGCAATTCAGTGCTGTTTCTAAAAGAAAAAAGAAAAAAGAAAACCAATTCGGTGCTACTCCTACAGTCCTACTACAGTGAACCAGTCTAGTGTAGTACAATGTCCTTTGTTGTAGCACGTGGATCCAACACCAACAATTTGCCAACGCGAATGGATAAGGTGAATCAACCACACACACTTGGCTAGCTAAGCTGGCACCACAATGGCTAGCTCAGCGCCTCAGCCTTGTCAGCCATCGATGGAGATATCCTGTATTGGCTTCCAACAATCTGGCTGCCGCCTCCTACACCAAGTAGCACGTGAAGCACTACGAACACGGGACGAACAGCGGCCACAGCCCGGGGTACGTACGTGGCGAGCGGCGGCCCACGATACGAGCACGCAACGCGGAGCTCAATCTTCTGCCGCCTCGCTTGTACCGTCTTCACGCAGCACGTACGAGAGCTCGATCACCACGCGTACGCCTACGTGTCCGCGGCTCCGTGTACGTAAAATATCCACCGTACTACTACGTGCCGCCGTTCCTGTCCCAGCCGGGTCGTAGCTCGTAGGGACTGCGACCTGAAGCCGAGTATAGTTACAAGCCATGGCTACGTTTCGGGCGCGTAGCAACTAGAGCTCTACAAGTGCGTGCATCGGGCACGACACCCGTCGCCTTCGCAGGGACGGAATAATCCTACCCAAGTAGGCAAGTAGCTCACCAGCTCGTACGTACGCGCCTACGTACGCGCGAGTCGCGGGCTGATCGATCGGGCGACGGTTAATTCCACGAAGCTCCGCGCGGGCGCCGGAGCGCCGCAGACGTCCAACTCCACCGGGCCGACGAAACTTCTCGCGTGTTTCGTTCGATTTGATCGCCGACAGCTTAATTGGGCGGGCGCGCGCAGCCGAGCCCGTGTGGAGAGAGTACGTAGAAAAAGCCACCCCAAAGATCGGATTCGGAACAAGACAGGGCCAGCTTTCCTCTGACAGCAACAAGCTAGTCGCCGCTCACATGTAAGGAGTATGTACAGATGGGTACAAATTACAGACCGCAACGCCCGCGTACGTCCGTCGTCTCCTCCGGACGTCCACATTTTCCTCCGCCACGTGTACAACATGGCATACTAGTATGCATACAAGATTCCAGACGCTCCGGTGGATTGGTGATCCTGAATCTTTTCGATTTTGGACCAAGCAACTGAATGTATGCTTGCCCGGTGAATCATCCAGCTGGAGCTGAGCCTGGGGTACGTGCGTGGCGTGGCTAGCTGGGATTTATTTACACACGCACACACTCTCATATATTTTATTTTTGTGTAGTGCCATGCATATATGCATGGATCCGGCCCCTAGTCGTCGTCGTTATCGTCTGAGCTCCTTGAGGTGGACGCCTGGTCTGAAGGACTGCCCTTCTGCGACGGCGACTCACCGCCTCGGTCCTTCTTGTACGTCTCGAAGAACTCCCTGTTCTCCTTCTCCAGCTCCTTCCACACTGCCCAAGTGTACAGAAAATCATTAATTAAGAACATCTGAATCCATAAGTATCTTCCTGGCTAAACAGATTGACATGCTGAAGTTACAATCTCGGAATACAGTTTCTAGCTTGCTAAGACCATCTAGAAGAGAACGGTAGAAGAACATCTCCCTTCCTCTGCATGCATGCAGATATGCAATGCAAGAAAGACAGTGGAGCGATCGATGACAAACTCGAAGCTACCGATCAAAGCAATGTGAGAGTGGACGGAGCAATTACCAGTGGATGTGACGGCGGGCATGATGTTGGCGTGCTTCTCCAGCGCCTGCACGCACTCCTCCTTGTTCATGTCGTAGCAGATGCACTTCTCGATCAGATGCTGCACCTGCATGCAACACATGGCTGAATTAGCACACCAAAATGGCGCATGCGCTAGCCTCTCAATCAGATCATCATTATGCTGCGCGGACGTACCAGTCGGATGTAAGACGCCGGGGACGATGAGTCGTCGGCCATGACGGTCGCCGAGCACACCCAGCCACCTAATTAACTTGTTCGCCCGCGCACAGATCGAGCAGAGAACAGACGGTAGTAGCTTCCGCGGGAGATAGAAGCCGCTGAGAGCTGTGGTGCTTGTTGCTAATGGCGTCCGGGATCGCGGGGAGTGAACTGACGAGAGCGTGACAGGTAACACCGGCGGGGA